ATATAGAAGTATATGTAAGTGTTAGAATATCCTTTCTCCCAAAAAACCTAATATAAAACCTCAAATTCAATATTAAACATCAAGGTGTTTTTGAAGAATTTATTGTTATTATTTTAATGTAATGAATTCTGCATTGGATGTTTTCTTCAAAGTCATCTAATTTTTATTTTGTTAATAACCATTGTTTAGCTGATAATAATTAGATTTTGGCTATATTACTCTTCTTCCAATTGTGTCAGACACTGTACCTAATAAAGAAAAAAAAGCATCTGGGAAATTCTGAACTTTTCCCATGTTATTTTGTATTATAAAATCTTAGTGAGTTTTGTTTATTTTGTGAATCATTCTGCACCAGATAGAAAGACAGATGGGTAGTGTGAAGTTCAAAAATCTGGGCAAATAGGAAGATAGACGGATGGTTTAAATGGTTTAACTATCTCCATGAAAATGTTTGTGTGGACAGCATGACTCTTGAAGTTATACTAAAAATTTAAGGAATGAATTAGGTATAATAGAGTTCATTAAAAAAATAATAATGTTTGAAAAATGTGACATTAAATATGGAATTCATTAGTTATGCCTTTTGAACTGCCAATAACAACAAATTAGAATAAAATACTCAATTACTCTTGCTTAGAAACTATTTGCTTTACTTTCTTATTATAAACATGTAGACTGTAGAAAAGTTTTTATTACTTGGAACTAATTTATCTGGATACTTCTACATGATCTTTGGAACTGTTGGCAGATTAATTTGTTTAATTTCAAGTAACAGAAACAAACTAGCTTTAAAAATGGTGAATCAAAACAAAAGACAAAGACATCAAAAACCTTAAAATGGTCCTTAGGGCAGGAATATGACTGCTCTGGCAGCTTCTGTACCAGGAGGTAGTGAACTTTTCACTCATTTTCAGGCATTAGTGTTGCTTAGCTTCTAGCTGAGATGGTTTTCTTTATGATCTGGTGGGGGATCTTGGATTTTGGGAGTCAGCTTCATAAAGGAGTCTCTATCTTTTGTAGGTAGAGAGAAACAGGGATGATTATTTTTATAGGAAGGTTTCACCGGCTGTAGATGTGTCAATTGCATTAATTCTTGGGGATATAATGAAATGTATTTCTGTAAGAATAATGCTAAGTAGCAGCGTTCTGTGACAAAATTATTATAGTAACAATATGTGGGATGATATGTTCCTCAGAATGTTAAAAATCATTCATAATTAGTATTATTGAAGTGATTTACTAATTGCTAAGTTAATAAGATTATCCCACATGCATACAGAATAAGTCAAAATGTCTCTAGGGATTTATGTTAACTGAGGCAAACAAATTATTGGGTTCTGATTAACAATTCTTAGAAATTCAAAGTTCAAGTAAAATAGAATTTTTAAAAAAAAATCCTTGGGCATACCGCAAAGTGAGCAGAATTATTGATATTTAAGTTATATATGATTATTATACTGGTTCATGACATAAAATGGTTCATCCTATGGGTTGTAATAAAAAAATATGAAAAACCACCTCTTTAGTGGTTTAAGTTTCGTCCCCCCCGCCCCCCGTGATTTTCTTCAGGTACAAACTAAATTAAAATACTTGTTCCCCTCCTGCTACTCTTAGTGGTAGAATCTGTTTCCAGTCAGAAGTGAAAAAAATTAGGAAAGATATTCTGGCAAAAAAATTATTTTCTCATGAGAAGTTCTTAATGTTTTAAAGTAATATAGATCTTTTGTGGCAACATTTTGTGAAATACCTTGGACAGTTATTCAAATGTGTGCAGGAGCCACCTAGTAATGGGCTATGACTAAAGAATTGTATTCTGAAGAATAATCAGGTGCACCTCTCTAGGAGGTGATGGTTATAGGACTTGGAAATACTAGAATTTGTTGGTAGTAGAGATATACTAGTTTGATGGAAATTATACACACACATACACAAACACACACACACATATACAAATATATGAAGCTGTCAAAAATTCTTAAGATCTATTTCTGGGGTCAGGATTAATTGGCAGAACTTCCTTGGAAGGAGAACAGAAATTAATATTTTTTAAAAAATTTCTTAAGCTGAATTCATAAGAAATATTTATTTGAATTGTCCCCAAAGTTCAAGATTTGCTTAAATGTTCTATTTTTCCTATGTTCACATATGAACACTTGACCAGTGAATCTCCACATCATGTAAAACCACAAGAATGGGATCCTAATTAGAATAAATTATGCTCCATGTATGTATAATATGTCAAAATACACTCTACTGTCATGTATATCTAAGGAAATCAAATAAAAAGTTTGATAAATTTACATGTTCATTCACTTACATTGGCAATCTATAAATACTTTCTATATTGTTTTAGTTGAAAAAGTACAAAAAAACTTTAACTCATGACATTTTTGGTATCTCTCAGACCTCTCCCAATTCAAGTCTCAATTTCTGTGCTTGGTTATCAAGTCATTTAGCACCTAGAGTGGTCCTTCTCATCAGATATATTTCCTCCCTCCTTTCCTCAATACTCTCATAGTCTTTCCTTGCCTGTGTAACATTGCTTATTCTTTTTTTTTTTTTTTTGTGACATGGAAAAAATATCAATATTTATCAATAAATTCTATTTATTTATTTATTTATTTATTGGTTGCTCAAAACATTACAATGATCTTGACATATCATATATCATACATTTGATTCAAATGGGGTATGAATTCTTATTTTATTCTTTTTTTTTAATACAGTAGAATGCTTTATTTGAAAACTATCTCTATAAGTCTTATCTAGAAAACCAGAGTGGGGCCAGTGTGGTGAAAATGGACATGGAGTTGCTTGGGGTCCCTAGGATTCCTAGAGCATTGCTTAAAGGCAGCTTATCTACTAGGTTGGCACTTAATGTGAAATGTTTAGTGGCTGCCATGATGCTTAAGGCTCTGGCGTTGGGTTTGAGGAAAGTGTAATTGTAGCAGACCCATTCTGAGTAGGTCAGTCTGGGGAAGGGCAGCACGACACAGGCCTATCATAGGCACTGGGGTGCTGGTCTGTTTGTCCTCAGTACCACCTGCCTTACTTAACCCTCTGGTCAAGTAGCCATAGCCTGTTAGTCATAGGGTAGAAAACTTATCTTCACTGTCTAACAATTAATGAGTTTGATCTTCAATGATATGGATTACGAAGTTGAAAGCTGTAGCAACTCTTTTTTTCTTGCCCTTATAAAAGGAATCATCTGGTGTATTTGTGTATCAACAAAGGTAGATTGTTCAAGTTTGTATTCTGTATTTGTATTCTGGTACAGGATCAACAACAGGTCTGTACACTGACCTTAAAGCAAGGAGCTGGGGGATGATTTACAGTGGAATCACCAAATGGATCTCCTTCTCATAGATGTCAGGGATCACTTCCATTAGGGAGTTACCATGTGCACAGTATTCTGGCCAGACACCTGGAACTCGTAGTAGATGAGCTGCTCCCAAAAGACCTTGTTTGTTTGGATGATGGGCCAGCTTGACTTGGTCCATATGTGGGCATCTTGCTTGGTACTTCACTGGGTAAGCAAGGCACAAAGTGATTGAGAGATTCACCCCCAGCAGCACACTGTTAGCAGCATAAGGCCCTGCTTCATTTCCACATTGTAAATGTGGTCGGGGATGGGGTCAAAGAAGACAGAGCTGTGAGATGGGTGCATTAACCACAGGCAGCTGTGTGTACTGGATATCCTCATAGAAGGTATTACCACTTCCTCCCAGATGTTGATGATGAGGTGATATGGTTTCTGGACAGCAAGAGCTTGTTTTTGGCAGCTATACCTTTGCTGATATAGAGGCTTCTGGTGATCTTTGAGAGGCCAGTGACTGAGGGCTACTAGAACTGAACCTGGAAGGTACACAGAGGCACTGTCATCAAGGGTGTGGGTCAGCAGTTGGCCACATGTGAGGCCTGCATCTTTCTGCTAGGTTGTGTCCATGGAAAATTTAAAAGCATGTTGTGAGCCTGGCATGGTGGCACAGGTCTGTAATTCCAGCAACAGAAAAGGCTGAGGCAGGAGGATAGCAAGTTCAAGACCAGTCTCAGCATTTTAGTGAGTTCTTCTCTACTCTAGGAGTGTGATGGGATTAATTCTTGAAGCAGTGGCACTGCAAATCCCCCAGCAAGGGTATCTGAAATAAAGACCAGTTCAGGTCCTGGCCACAATCTCCACTGGCTCAGTACTCTGGTTTCTGTAGCAGTGGTTTCTCTTCATGGGGAAGAATTGGCTGTCCAGGACTTCAGAGAAATCTCGGCTTCTCTTCTATGCCAAGTGCAACTCTGCCAGTACTTACCAGGTTATCACAGCCCACCTAGTGGAGAAGTACCAATATTGCTTATTTTTCTGCCTGTGTTGCTATTCTAATTTACCAGGCTCTATGTCAACTCAAAGTACATGTATGAAGACATGGGGAGAAAAAAAAAGAACCTTGTTTTTAAATACTGAATTTCAAATGTTTAGCATAGTTTCTAGTAGTGTTCAGTTAATAACATTCATTGAGAGGGACAAACTATTGTTCTTTACGTCATATACTTTTCCATACATGCCGTATATTTTAAGGTCTATTTTCTCCACAAAGCCTCCTCTGGCTAACCTTGGCTTTATTAATATCTCAAACATAGACCTCAACATTTAACATTATTTACAGCCATTTTTGATTTCTTGGTTGTACAATTTCATGTGCACTGCTATTCTGATTTGGTTTAAGCTTCTTGAAGATGAGAGGATCAAGTGTCAGTATTTTTTGTGTTGTACATACATTTTGATTCACCGAATATTTAGTGTACATCATGCCCCCTTCATAGCAACCTGCATGCTAAGTACACATAAATAGTACTTTATATAAAGCCTAACACATAATATGAAACCAAAAAATCTTTAGTTTATTATTCATAAAATGTGTGAAATAAAATAGTGGTAATTCAGATGGTACATAGTGAAGAAAAAAACTTTTCCTTACCTTTTTGCTAACTTTCTTCACTCTTTATTTCAGGGAAGGAAACAGAAAAGGCCAAGGAACGTTATGACAAAGCTACAATGAAACTTCATATGTTGCATAATCAGTACGTATTGGCACTAAAAGGGGCACAGCTTCATCAGAATCAGTATCATGACACCACACTTCCTCTGCTTCTGGATTCCTTACAAAAGATGCAAGAAGAGATGATAAGAGCTCTGTAAGATATGTTTCCTATTCATCATAAAATCACATTGAAAATTATTTCAAAATATTTTCTACCCCAGTTAAGCTTCTGCTCTGTGAGTTTTGTTATTACCCAGCACAATGGGTATGTCAGATCTGTGTAATCTTCTTCCTTCATTTTGGGATCATCTACTAAACTTTCTGGCTAGCCCCCAAATGGATCTTCTATCCTGTGTTTTTGTTTTGTTCCAGTTAGCTGAATATTTAAATTAAAAAAAAAAAAAATTCATTGGTTGACATATTCCCTGTTCCCAAAAGGTTGAACATTGAAATCTTGAATGAAATTTTGAACTGAGAAGCTTTAAGGAAATAATTTTTTGAAGGTTTATTTAGGCTTCTTGCTATTTATTTATTTTTTGGTATGAGGTTAAAATCAACAAATGCTTATTGAGGTTTTACTGTATACAAATTATACTACTTGCTACTTAGGGATATAGAGATGTGCAGGCACAATTTTTCTTTAAGGAGCTAGCAGTAATCAATAAGTCACTTGCACACACATTTACCATATACATTGATTTAAGACATTAGAAAATGGTAAGCCACATGTTGGTGGACTTCATCTCCCTTTATTAGTTGATTTTGCAATTTCCAACTGATAGATCCAAATTTCTTTCACTGTGTTTAGGGGAATTCTTCCATGTTAGAGTTGCTGTGCATTAGAAGTAGGGTTAGGAAAGAGAGAAAGGAAATGAGATAGTAATGAAGGAGTGTTAGAGAAGAAGAAATAAGTGTTGGATTATCTCTCAGATCGAAATAAATTTCATAAATCATGGTGAATTATGAGAAAAGGAACTTGGGCCAGTTCGGATTCTTATATTTAATTAATTTATCTGTAATTATGTAAATTAGAAAATGAATTCTTAGTCTAGTGTACTTTGAAATGTAGCGGTAAATTAATATGAAAGGTAATTGTGAGCATTTTTCAAGTTTTAAGAGGAATCCTGAATTGGGCTTGGTGGCACACAGACTGTAATCCCAACAGCTCTGGAGGCTGAGGTAGGAGAATCACAAGTTCACAGCCAGCCTTAGCAACTTAGTGGGACCCTAAGCAACTTAGCAAAACCCTGTCTCAAAATATAAAATAAAAACGAGCTGAGATGTGGCTCAGTGGTTAAGTGCCCCTGGGTTCAATCCCTGGTTAAAAAAAAATGTGGGACAGCTTGAATAGTTAATGAGTGCCAAAGAAACTATTAGAGTAGAATGATAATTTCTAAAACAAAGCTATAACAAATTGTATATTATGTTGTAGTTTGCAGAGCACTTTCATGTGCGTTTGTTCATAAACTCATTTGTCCTGTCCAGTATCCTGAAGAGTTAGGAAGATCAGTTTATAGCCAGGGTTTATTTGTGACAGATACATCAGTACTGGCTGAAGATCACAAAACTAAGAGGTGGACTTGAAATGAGGTCTACTGATTATCTCAACATTCTTTCCATTAATATATTAGTGGGTTGACTGGCATGTTCCCCAAATTTATATGTACCTTTATGACCTTGTTTGGAAGTAGGTTTTTGTAGATGTAGTAAGTAGTTAAGGATATCAAGATGCGATTGTTCTGGATTTAGGGTAGTCTTGAAATTCAATGACTATAGTCTTTATAAGAAGAAAGTACTCAGGGGAATGCAAACATGGGTAGCTATTTGAAGACTGAGGTAGAGTTTGGAATTAGGCTGCCACAAGCCAAGGAATACATGGTATCAACCAAAACTGGAGATTTTAATTGTATTAGGAATTTCTTTTTTACAAATTAGAAAATTCTAAAATGTTGCAAATTGTGCTGGATCACACATTTGATATTTGATTAATTATACAGAAAGGGAAATGTTTAAAATGTTTCCTAATACCTGTTACCCTGATATTAATTAACCTTAGTAAATGGCTTCATTGTTGCTTTTGAACAACTCTCTGATGTCTAACAGATTCAGTACAACTACATCTCTTTGTATTATATTGTCCCATTCACAGAGAAACATTTCAGATAAGGGATCTAGGTTCCCAGTATTTCTTAGACAACAATGACTTCCAGAACCTCTGAAATTAGATCAGATTTGTCTTTGCTGCCTTTCAGACTCTGCTTGACTTACTTTTGCTTCTCCTTATGTAAAAGTGTGAAGGTAAATAGATGTATATACTTGTTTAAAGGTCAGACTAAATTTTAGATGATAAAATTTTAGAAGAAATAAATTTTAGAGAAAATAAAGTATTTTTAATTACCTTGAATATGTAAACTTTTTATTATTGATAAAATAGTGAAATATATACTTAAAATATTTAATTCATAAATTTAGTTGCTTTACTTTAAATTACATAATTTTGGTTGAGGAATATTTTCTTTCCTACCCTCCATTTGTCAATGAGTATTTTTCAAACTGTTGACATGGATTTTCAGTAATAGGTCTTCAAGATAACTAGAACATCCTTTTGGGACAAAACATTCCCATAGCATATTTTCTTCACTTTGCAGTACATTATTTTATACTAACATTTAAAAAATTCCAAGTTTGATGTTACCACTGAAATTGAATCCCTGAATCCCATGTGATAAGTACCCATTCATGTACTGTTGGGAGAGATTGCTGCCCCCTCCCTGGTATCAATCCCAGTTTGCTTTAAGGGTGAATATTAATGATTCCTACATCAAAATTATTCAGTAATTTCCATATTGTAATCATTTTAGTCCCAGAGATATTGACTAAATATCTATTTTATTTTTTCTGTCTTTTTTTCTTTAAATTGTATCTGTCAAGTGACTTCTGTAGTAATTTTAAACTAGCATTGCCTGAACCAGTTTTAATTTTTTTAACCCAAATACTTTATTAAAGTAGTAGAGAGAATACTTTATAATAAAGGAGCTTTGTGAGTAATGAATTTGATTTATGAATAATGATTTGAGAAAAGAAAAATAAGTAAAAATAAATAAATGCTATGTATTTATTTGAGACATATGTAGAATAACATTATCTGTCCACAGTTGCTGTTGGAGCCATTAATGACCAATGGCACTTTTTTTTTTTTTTAAGTTGTATATGGCACAGTACCTTTGTTTAATTTATTTATTTTTATGTGGTGCTGAGGATCAAACTCAGTGCCTCATACATGCCAGGCAAGCACTGTACCACTGAGCCACAACCCCAGTCCCCAGTGGCATATTTTTATAACACAGCAGTTTAAAGAAGGGGATTGGTCTTTGTGACAGAATATTTTTTTCCTTTTGCATTTATTAGATCTTTCGAATTATTAGGCTAATAACTTTGATAACCTTTTTTGCTATTGAATAGAGGTCAGGAGAAAAGGTTTAAATGTCATTGAAGGTATAGAACTAGGTATTATTTACAAAAAAGAAAAAAAGCTCCAGGAGCATGACAAGAACCAAGAAGTAGGGCATTTGAGAAGTGGCAGACACTGGAGAGGGATATTTAGAAGACAGGAGTTGATCAGAGGTCCATGTTATGGAATCCAAAATTTCTATGAGAATATTTTAAGATCTAGAAAATTATCAACACTGGCTCTGTATTTTGGACCTGTTCAATACATGTTTGAAAAGGTAATGCCTTTTTAAAGATCATTTGCAATGATTGTAGTTATTAAATGTAATCCCTCTTCTGTATTCTCCAGGTATGAAATAACATGTGCCTGAAACCCCCATTTGTAAATTCTGGTAGTACATTTCTATGTCTGTTGTTCTGAATCCTTCTTGGGTCTGTATTTTTTTTTTTTTGGATAAAATTTTAAAATGTTATAAAATTTTATTTTTGTTTTCAGAAAAGGAATATTTGATGAATACAGCCAGATAACCAGTCTTGTTACAGAAGAAATAGTGAATGTTCATAAGGAGATTCAATTGTCAGTTGAACAGATAGATCCTAGCACAGAATACAATAATTTCATAGATGTTCACAGGTATGATATTTTCATTCCTCTTTAAATATTTTTGAAAATATAATTGTTCTGCCATATAATATTTAATAAAATTAAGACAAGAAATATTTAAGAATATTTATTACAGATTCATTTGTCTGCTTTTGACTTTAAAAGACTTTCTCAATGTTGATAACTATTTATATAATTATATTTAAAAATTCATTAATTATTGTATTATTGCTTTAATCCACATTTAGTATATGAACTTATTCTTCTTTTTTAACATTTATATAGAATACTGTGAATTTACATGTGCATTAAACTTCTCAGATACCAGTTACTTTTTTTCATCTATGCATCTTATTTTAAGCATATTAAAATTGTGATGGGATGAAGCAGGTTAATATTTGTTTTTTGTAGAGAAGGAAAGTAAAGCTGAAGTTACTTGGTTAGACCTTTGGGTTTATTTGTACTTATACTTTCTGTGTTTACTTTGTTAATATAATTTTGAATAAGAATAAATATTCTGCCTTTGGTGTGTACTAAGATATATTTTGTTAATATGCTAATATTGATCAGAATTATTTGGCGTACTTTACTAGAACAACAGCTGCTCAAGAACAAGAAATTGAGTTTGATACTTCCTTATTAGAAGAAAATGAAAACCTTCAGGCAAATGAGATCATGTGGAATAATTTAACAGCAGAAAGTTTGCAAGTAATGTAAGTATTTAGAAAATCTGAACAGTTTAAAGATTAGTCTTATTGTTATCTTATAATTTATCATATTTAAATCCCCCATTTTTCAAGTAATAAAAAGTAAATTTGTTTAGAGTGACATATTTTGAGAAATATATTAATTTTACTCATTGTCACTAATTTTGATAATTTTGAAAATCAAAGTTTTGTGATGTTAAATTAATTTGCCTAATTATTGCTAATATTTTATATTGGAATAATGATTTATTTTTCAAAGAGAGAGAGAGAGAGAGAGTGTGTGTGTGTGTGTGTGTGTGTGTCTGTGTGTTTTGTTTTGCAGTACTAGGGATTGAACTCAGGGGTATTTGACCAGTAAGCAGTAATCCCATTCCTTTATTTATTTATTTTTTAAATTTTGAGATGTTCTAAATTGCTGGAGTTGGCCTTGAACTTTTGATCCTTCTGCCTCAGCCTCTCAAGAGGCTGGGATTATAGGTGTTTGCCATTGTGCTTGGCAACATTTTATCTCGTTTTATCCTCACTACTTATTGGCAGAACCATTTTGGAAATAAGGACACTAGTTGTTAGAGATAGGAGAGACATTGATGTCAGAACATTTAGCACAGAATTTGAGTTTTAATTGAGTTCTCTCTAGAATCAAGGATGTCTTCTATTATAGAAGTGTCTACAAAATCAGTTTCTTCTTTGTTGTTTCTGTTACATAAAGTTTTAAAGGAGTTTTAACAAATCTTATTGTGTCTTTTAGTATTTTTCAAATGTTAAAGGCAATTAATAGTGCTTTTTGAATTTATAAAATATAACTAAGACCACTATACTGTTAAATATTTAACATCTCCTGATTTTGTTCAGGGATAACACAAAGAAATGTATTTGTTTATTTATTTAGGTACTGGGGATTTAGCTCAGGGGTGCTTAATCTCTGAGCCACATCCTCAGTCCTTTTTGTATTTTATTTAGAGACAGGGCTCCTGAAGTTTCTTAGGGCCTTGCTGAGTTGCTGAGGCTGGCTTTGGACTCGTGATCCTCCTGTCTCAGCCTTCCAAGCTGCTGGGATTATGGGTGCATGCCACAGCACCTGGTCAAGAAATATTTATTTATTTATTTATTTATTTTTTAAGTTTTAAAATATATTTTTTAACTATTTAAAACATTTTTTATTAGTTGCTCAAAACATTACAATGTTCTTGACATATCGTACATTTGATTCAAATGGGGTACGTAATCTTAATCTTATTTTTCCACATGTACAGATTGCAGGATCACATTGGTTATACAGCTACGTTTATACATAGGGCCATACTAGTGATACAAGAAATATTTATTAATAAGCATTGTAACTGCTTATCTTTGTGTCAAAACCATAGCTAGAAGTGGTTATGTACTCATTTTTCTTCAATATTGAACTTGTAAATTATTTCACTTATCAAATTTTACCTCCAATAACATTATTCAAAAGTTCTCATCTAATGTAATTAATCTCCTTCAGTTATTCAGTAACATTTTAGTGGTATATATAATTATCTCAGGTAGGATTGTAAAATTAGTTTTGTAAAAATTAGTTTGTAAAGGTGTTTGAAATATCTGCTCAGATAGAATTGAAGGAACTAACAAATGCTTTTGCACAAATCACCTGTTCAAGATGTGGGTTTAGTAACTATGGTGACCTGCCACTGGTGAGAGGAGTAGAGGCATGGGAGTATCCTGAATTATATTTTTCTGGCAGCTATATTACATTTCTTGAAGCTGTTCCCCATGTTTTTGATGCCCTCTACAGGGGTCTCTTTGACTATTGACTTTGGCCATTGACATTTACAATGAGAGTTATTTCTAAACTGGTAGTTTTCACCTGGGCAGATTTTGTCCTCCAGGGAACATTTGACAATTTCTGGAAAAATTAGCCACTGATGCTACTAAGTATCCCATGGTGTACTGGACAGTTTCCCAGGACAAAGAATTATGTGGCAATAATATCAATAGTGTTGAGGTTGAGAAACTGTACTGTGTAAGCAACAAATGCATTGAACTCATGGTGCAAGATGGTTGGTAGAGTTTCTGAATTCCTGTGTAATGAGATATTCCATTTTTTAATTCATATATTACATGGTAAAATATGACATAAGCTGCCCCTGATTTTGTTATCACTATCTTGCTCCCAGATAACATATTTAGTTAACAAAATAATTTTGCTGTGTATTTAAAGTTGTAAAGGTTAGTACCTTCAAGAAGTTTATACTGAAATTGATAATTTACTTAATAAACTCCAAAAAGAATGAACATATAAATATTGGGTTATATAATGTGGTAAAATTTAAAAAGCTACCTGTTATAAGCTTATGTAATCAGAGATTTTATAACTGAAGAAGAATTTGGGTTTTTTTTTTTTCTTTTCAGGGTATAATGAGGATAGAATTAGTTATACTTATAAATCATTGTTTCTTAATCATGGTGATAAAACAGTGAACAAAATATCATAAATTAAGATAATAAATCTTTGTTAATGTGCTGTAAGATTTAATTGCTTACATCTTACTGAGGAAAAAAATTGAGCTACATTTCATTGCATTGTCTTCAGGATGAGTTTAAGATTACGGTTTCTTCAAGAATTTTATTCCAAGAAAGAGTCATTTGATATGTTTATTGGAAATGTTAAGATAAATTTAAGATATTTGAATGTAAGAGTTACTTTTTTGTTAATGTAGTGTTAACACGTTAGAGTTAACACCTATACTTTCCTGAAGACATTAAAATTGTTAATTTATTGATTGTATTGAAATATTTCATTAGGAATGAAAGGAACAGATAGCTATTAGAAAAATAAATACAAATCTCCAGTGATTATGTGAAAAGATATACTTTATTGACAAAGAAATATAAATGAAAAAGAAACTGTTTTACTTATCAGATTGGCAAAGATTTAAGTAATTTGATAATATTCAATGTTTTGTAAGGCATAAAGAAATGAGGGCCTGGGATTGTGGCTCAGCGGTGGAGCCCTCTCCTAGCACGGGCAGGACCCGGGTTCGATCCTCAGCACCACATAAAAAATAAAGGCGTTGTGTTGTGTCCATCTACACCTAAAAAATAAATGTTAAAATATTAAAAAAAATTAAGAAATGAACCCTCTTATAAAGTATTGGCAGAAATGTAAATTGATATAATGTCTACCAAATTATTTAAGTAAAACTGGACAGATTACTTAAATCCTGTATGATGGAAATCTAATGACATAATCTATTCATGACAAAGTTATTGCCTTAACCTGTCTAAACATGTATCACAAAAAATTTTATCATAATCTCATTATCTGCATGTCAACTATATTTATATTGGTGTGTATGCAAAGAAGAGTTAAATTTAATGATTTATAGGATTATTTCCTTTTTATAAGAAGAGTGTTTGCATGGTATATTACCCTGTGGTGGTAGGCTGTTTCTCAGGCTCTGATAACAATTGGCACTGAACATCTGAAGTTGTATTCTTCCCATCAAACATACTTTTAGGTTGCATTATTTTCAGACTTGAATTTGAAGTTTCTTTCTTTGCTTCGTTATCTATAACTACTCTTTTGCCACATCAACAACCTCTTTTTTATTGGATCTACCTTCTTTGCCAAATTCGGGAAAGGGTGCTATATATAAGAATATATTATAAATAAGAATTGATTTTAATCAGACATATACTGAAATTGAATATTCAAATATTTCTTCTTATTCAATCACTGTTTAATTAAATAACTTGGAAATCATTATTTTAGTTCATTAAGTAATTTAAATAGGATATAAAATTATGAACATAAGAATATATTTAAATGTTTATTGTGATTTTTTTTGTTATTTTGGATAGATGAAGCATATATTTGAGATTTATTGCAAACTTTAATGGAGTTATGAACTGGCACATTAGCAGTTTATAGCAAATCATAGATAGGTTATTCCAAAATATTGTGAACATTACTTTGCTTGTCAAAGGAGTAATTTTGGTTGATTTTAGCAAAATAGTAAAGTTAAGGTCTTATTTTGTTTTTTTGTTCACTCTATTTTCTAATTTCAAGTGAAGTATTATTATTATTATATTAATTCCTATCAATAGGATACATAATTCCACAAGATTGTGTAAAATGTATATATAATCTTATATTCTAAAGTAAAGCCTGGGCTAGGGTGGTGACTCAGTGGGAGAGTGCTCACTTAGCATGTGTGAAGCACTGGGGATCGATTCTAAGCACCACATAAAAAATAAATAAAATAAAGGTATTGTGTCCATCTACAACTTAAAAAAATTAACAAACAAAGCAAAACAAAGCCCAACTTCAGACCTCATGCTTCTCACTACATTTTTACAAATTTAAAATCATAACAGGTTTAGCATTTATTATGGAATATAAAGTAGGATCTCTTAAATGAAGAATATAAATTTTCTATGTGGAAAAGTGATTCTCCCAGATCTTGCAGGGCATGAGTTAATAATCTGTATGTAGCCTATGAACCAATTCATCTTGCTGCTTATTCTTATGCAGCCCATGAGCTAAGAATTCTGTTTATTTTTAAATGGTTGAAAGGAAATCAAAGAGAAATTATATTTTGTGTCACATGAAAATTACATGAAATTTGAATATCAGAGTATATAAATAAAGTTTTATTGGTACATAGCCATGTTTATTCATTTACCTGTTGTCTCTGGGTGATTTCCTGTTGCAACAGCAGGGTCAAGCAGTTGTGTTGTGACAGCAACCATATTTGGCAGTCTCATCACTTCACACCACTGCTTGGCATAATACAAATTAGAGTGACACAGTTATAATTCAGCACCATTTTGAGTGTGACACATATTGGCATACTGCAGCATTTTATTTGCTTTTTTTTTTTTTAATCAGTTCATGCCTATTGTGTCAAAATAAGAAGAGAATGGATTTTGAATGCCTTACTTTTAAGGCACAGTAGAGTGTAGATTGTTTTGTTACTGAATTACATGGCAAAGCCATGTAATTGTGTTTATTATGCAATGATATTATGCCTGCTATGTTCTGGCTGAACTTAATTAAAGTCATATGCTCATGGATCAATATTGATATATGCTGGTACCAATCTGTGTGAAGAGACATTTCTAGAGTGAAGTATGTAAAATCTCATTGTATATCTGTATTAACAGATGAGCATTTACAGTTGATTTTGATAAACACTAACTTTAAGCCCCAAAGAAGAGAAGTATTATCACCTATAAATGATTCATAGGCTAATATTACAATAAATTGTTTTCAATTATTATTCTATTTTAAATTTACCAATAAAATATTTGTGAATATTTATTTTCTGTCTTTTTTATATTACTACCTACATAATATCCTTGATTTTATTTTTTGGTGGCAAAACCCAAATACATACTTACTCTCCAGACCTTTATAGAAAACATTGGCTTCTGTTGTTTAGGATGACACCAACTTAACTGATCCAACTATGGGAATCAATGTGTATCCAACAGGATGTCAAATATTCAGTATTCCCTCACTGTGTTTTACCAAGTCTGTTTCTGGTTTTTCTGACTTACAGTCTTACCTCAGGATTGCTCTCTGGTTGAATATGTATAGAATTTTATTCAGCTGTGTTTTTATTTACTTAGTCCTTATCTTTGTTCTTTCTCACTTTGTTTCCATTTTTCTTTTTTTGTAGTTTAATTTGTCTAATTTGATGAAATTAGACTTTTTACACCAACACTGCCCATGAATACTTCTTGGAAATATTGAAATGTTCTCTATTGGTACTCAGTGTTCTCATTGAGTGAGGTAAACTACTAGTCACATTTCAATTTAGCACTTGAAACATGGCTAATGCAACCAAGGAATGGACATTTTAATTCAAATTAAATTACATGTGGCTCTTATTCTAGACATCACAGTGTTAGATTGTGAGTGCTTTCTTGGTAAGTGTAAAGTCTACATAATTAACGTGTTGATTTGATAATGTTGAAATTGCCATTCTAGGTTGAAAACTTTAGCTGAAGAACTTATGCAGACACAGCAGATGCTTCTAAACAAGGAGGAGGCTGTCCTGGAGCTAGAGAAGAGAATTGAAGAGTCTTCTAAGACCTGTGAAAAGAAGTCTGAGTGAGTAAAAGGAAAACAACTGAAGCAAGAAAGCTTAATTGATGAAATTTTATACAATTGTTCAGTGATACAACCAAAACATTTCCAGAAATGGAAACTTCAATTTAAGTATAAATCTTTGTATAATTGAGTTAATTTCTAGGACTCTTGAAAAATGCTTCTGCATTTTTGTAGATATGGTGTGCCCTAGAAAGTGATGCCATGTTTTTTGAAAACAGATTGATCATGTTTCAATATTTTAACAGTTTGAACTATGTTCTGAAAGAACCCTCTACATAAAGCTCTCTTTACTTTCCCACATTCATTTTTACCAAATGCACTATGAAACCCTTTGTTAGAGTGTCAGACCAATATTAGCCAGAAACTGGTTTGTACTGTGTTAAAAGGAAGCAGACAAACCGATTAGAAAATAGTAATCTGTTTCACCTATGAAAATCTCCCTGAGGTTTGTTGTGTTATTTTTGTTTTACTATTGTTTGTCTGGCTGATTTCTGGATTGTAAATATCTTCCTGGGTTTCTGAGTTTACATATCTTGGTATATTCTTCCTTTCATTAATTATAGTGTCTTTTCTCTTCCTTCAAAATTTAAATTTTGATCTATAACTTTAAATTACTGATCTGAATGGTAATGGAGTGCATCAACAACAATGGTTGCTGGTATGATTTCTCTAATCCTGACTTGCTATCATACTCTCACAACTTGTTTGACTCTCAAGGAATTTGTGATGTGTTGGATTTTTCTGGTCTACACACTTGCTCTTATTTCTGCACAAATTTACAAATATTCTTTGCTTCTGTGAAATTTATGATCCTCTTGTTCTCCTCATTATTGTAAGCAGATGGACTTATATACTGCAGAAAAAATTAGAAACATTAGGTGATAACTCCCTTATTATGGGGGAACTAGACATCCAAACCTGTTCACATTAGCATTCATTCTTTTTCCTTGTTTCAACTGAGTTTTCTTGTTCTGAGTTTATTTCTTGTGATATTTTAGAAATTATCGTATGATCTCTTACTTTCCCATAAATTTTACACTATTTTATATATTATTTTTACCTCCGCCCCCCCAGTTGTGCTCATTTTTTATATGTACTCAAGTCTTAGTTCCAAAAAACAATTTTTACCTCCCTACTCTCCAACCCCCTCACCGTTTTTTTCTTTCAGTGCGTGGGATTGAACCCTAAGGCCTTGTGCATGCTAGGATGTGCTCTTCCACTGAACTATGCCCCCACTCCCAAGATCCATTTTTAGTCTCCATATTTCCCCAGTTATTATCTTTGCCTTCTGTTCTTTTGGTTTAAAGTTGTTCTAAGAGTGTTGCACTCACCATGTCAATTCCCACTTAGTTTTCAACTTACATATAATTTTTCCCTATTGCTCTAGAAATAGGTGTGTTAAGATTACCAGTGACCTCTCCTTTGACAACTATCTTTCCTGATCTTTCAACAGTATCTGACTTTGCTGACTTCATGTTCTTTCCTTTCCCTTTACGTTTGGAACCCAAGATGCCAGATTATTCCTATTTTGCTGGTCATTTCTTTGCCAGCTCAATCTTCTCCACTCACTCAGTCCATTATGAGTAACTAAAATCATGACCATTTGCTTTGTCACTCTTCTCCCTGACCTCTTACTTTAGGTAATCTTCTGAAGATGGCCCAAGTTTTTTTACTCTCAGATTTTTTGGCTACTTATTAGCCCATTTGGGATGTCTTAGAAGTTATCCTACATTGCCCATGTATAAGTCTAGATTAAAAAATCTCAATATAGCTGAACCAAACCTCATCTAGTTTACTCTTACTATACCCTATTTCAGTTAAAGACACTAGTATCTTTCCTGTTATAACATAGAATATTAAGTCCTGCTTCTCTTATTTATACTGTATTTCTTATACAATTTGGTATTAAATTTCTGTCATAGTCAGTTTGGGATTCTATAATAACATACCATAGACAAGGTGACTTGTAAATAATATTCTTTATTTCTCATAGTTCTAAAGGCTGGAAGACTAAGATCAGGGTGCCTTACTGGTTGGGTTCTCCTATGGACCCTTTTCAAGGTTACAGATGGCTGTCTTCCTGTATCCTTATGTGGCCGATTGAGAATGAGATAGTTATCTTGGGTCCCTTTTAAAAGGACACTAATTATATTCATGAGGAGTCCACCCTCATAGCCTAATTACCTTCCAAAGGCCTCACCTTCTAAAACCATCATATAGGGGTCGGATTTTAGCATATGAATTTTGGAAGCATATAATCATTCTATCTATTGCAATATCATTTTGGAATCAGTATGTCTTTTAAAAGCAAAATAGAATGGGGCTGGGGTTGTGGCTCAGGATAGAGCTCTTGCCTAGCATGTTCAAGGTGCTGGATTTGATCCTCAGCACCACATAAAAATAAATAAATAAAGTAAAGGTATTGTGCAACTAAAAAAAAAGCAAAGGAGAATGAAACTAATCAAATTATGTATGTGCATATACAAGTATGGCACAATGAGACCCATTATTCTGTAGAAATTATTAGGTACCAATAAAAACAAAAAAGAGAACAAAAAGATTTGAGTTACATTGGGCATTCATTTAATCTAGAAACTTTCAGCATTGCATCAACAGAAGATTCTTTTTGAATTATGAAAATAAAACTTAATTATCACACATATAAAATTCAACTTTTGCTCTTCTTTATTGGTGAATGTATATCTTTACATGTTTACAAATAACCAAATTGTTTTTTCTTTTATAGTTTTACAAATGCACACAATATAAATGTCTCCTATTTATGTAAAGAAAGACATCAGGGCTGGGCACAGTGATGCACACTTGTAATCACTGTGATTTAGACGATGAGGCAGGAGACTCACAAGTTCAGAGCCAGCCTCTGCAACTTAGCGAGGGCCTAAGCAACTTAGTGAGACCTATTTCAAAATAAAAAATAAAAATGAGCTGAGGAAGTAGCCCAGTGGTAAAGTGAACCTGGGTTCAGTCCCCAGTACCAAAAACAAACAACCAACAACAAAAAAAAGAAAGACAATTCGGTATGCTGATCCCTTTTTTCTAGGATGTCTGAGTATATATTTGCTGGAGAAGGTAATCTTTACAGTTTTTCTTAATCTGGAAGTTTGGGACTTTTAAAAAATGTGTTTTCTTAATTCAGTTATTTGTATCTTTTCATTTACATTATGGTGCAGTCTTTTTCCTTCATTTATTTGTATTTATTAGAAGATGAGAATAAGAGTAAAGGAGAATGAACTTGATAGGTGATGGGTATATGGAAAGTAGCATTTCTTGAATTTTTACTTTGTATCACATACTATGTTGGAAATGATAAAATCTCACTGAATGTTATTTTTCTATTCCTTCTTCATAAAAATGGCCTATATTTTACCTGTAGGACTTTGAGAATTTATATTACTTACCTATGACCACATATATAAGTTTTAGAAAATGCATTAGTTTCTGATTCCAAAGCTTCTATCTTTTTGATCATAGTTTTTGTTGATCTTATGATTTTAATAGCATACTTAGAAATATGTTAGAGGAGTGTGTCACAATTGCCAAGCTTTTCAGGGTATGAAACCCAATTTCTGTTAGCCTGTGTTACCATGGAATTTTTATTGTTTGCTTCAGGATATAATCTTGACAATATTAAGTATATTATATAACTAAATGGTCACTGCTAAATCCCATTCATTTATACATTGGAATGGTTGATGTTTGCCTTTTCATTATTTGTTAAAATATTTTACTAAAAAAAAATCTTAAAAGGATCCTAGGGTGATGTGTTTAGATTTTATTTCTTAAGGTTTCTTGGGTACTTCCTGTTTTTGTGACCATCTATATATATCTGTACATGTATATTTAAATACATATATAATCATAATAAGTTTTTATCTGGTTTTAAATTGGTTTAGACTTATTGTTACTTATTGCTTTGTTAGCAACCTATACTATATTACTTGAAAATAATGCAAACGTATTATATTTCTTTATGAATACTAAAAATATTCCATATTAGATATTCACATTCTTAAGTCATTTCTAAATTAGTTTACTTATAGAATAACTTGCCCTATCGAATGATAATAAGCAACTAAAATCAAATTCTTTAAATTTGGTTTTAATATAAATATTTCACAGCATCATCTAATATTTACAACTCCTGAAGGTGCATAACAAGTCTTATCCTCAAAACAGATATTTTTAGATAATTATACATTAACGTGTAATAATAAGAAACAATATAGAGAGATTCCTTGTACCTTATACTCAGTTTCTTCCATGGTAATATCTTGAAAAACTATAAAATAATATTAAAACACAGGTTTTGACATTGATCACAAGATACAAAACATTTCTACCACAACAAAGTTCCTTCATGTTGTACTTTTATAGTTATGCTTCCTTCTGTCTCTTTTTAAAAAAATTCATTTATTTATTCTAATTTGTTATACATGACAGCAGAATGCATTTAAATTCATAGTACACGTATTGAGCACAATTTTTCATGTCTCTGGTTGTACACAAAATATAGTCACACCATTCATGTCTTCATACATGTACCTAGGGTAATGATGTCCATCTCATTCTACCATTTTTCCTACCCCCATGCCCCTCCCTTCCCCTCTATTCCCCTCCCTTCCCTTTGCCCTATCTAAAGTTCCTCCATTCCTCCCATGCTCCCCCCCACAACCCCCATTATGAATCAGCATCCTCATATTTGGGAAAACATTCAGCCTTTGGTTTTTTGGGGATTGGCTTACTTCACTTAGCATGATATTCTCCAACGCCATCCATTTACCTGCAAATGCCATGATCTTATTCTCTTCTAATACTGAGTAATACCACATGCACATCAGATACAACATTAATCTTTAGGGCATATAAAGAACTCAAAAATATTAACACAAAAAAACCCCACAAATAATCCAATCAATAAATGGGCTAAGAAACTGAACAGACACTTCTCAGAGGAAGATATACAATCCATCAACAAATAT